AAGCCTTTTGTTTTCTAAAATAATTTTGATTTATTTCCTTGATCCCTTGCCATTTTGTCAATAAAAGAAGAGACCAGCTTTTGATTTGTGTGAAGTAAGTTAACAATAATTAGCTCTAATGCTTATTTTCTTCTGTTGAGAACATCAGGCTTGCCTGAGCCGTGACCTATATTAGCCACAGGGCTCTCTATAACTCATGTCCTTCATGCTTTGCTCCACAATTTTCTTTGTTTGAAGTAAAGGGAGATTTAGTGGGTTAGTCTGGCCAGCCGCATGGGAAAGCCAGTGGGATTCAATGCTGACACTGCACTTTGTGCCATTATTTCACCCTATGAGTAAAGGCTCATTCATTTACTCTAACATGTACTTCCCAACCCCTTGATAGGAAGAATTCTCTTTAGGTATCTGGTTCTCCCAGGAGGCTGAGGCTAAGTGTCAGTTTGGGAATGGATCCAAAAATGAAGAATTAGAAAACCCAGTAGATCGGTGGCCTTACCCATTGTAGCTCTATACATTTCAAACAGGATGTGGACTTTCAAAAATCATCTCTACTTAATGAAATTTTTGACTTAGAAAATGTTGATAATTGCTGGGAAAATGTTGAAGAAGGAAAGTTGAGTTTTCTAGGAAGTTTTTCACTGGCTTAGAATGACATAATTGTTGCTTAAACAGAGATCTTTCTGATTATATTTCACTTTTGATGGCAGAAAACAAAAATTTAGCCACAACAGTTAGATTGGTCCACATTGACAAAATGTATGTTACTTTGATGACATGTATAATTAGAATCTTATTTTCTATTTTAATGTTTTTTTATTGTAAAGATACTATACAGAGGGGTTACAGTTACATGAGTAAGGTAATGAATACATTTCCTATTGAGCATTGTTACCCCCCTTTGTTTTTCCCCTACCATCCCTTCCCTCCCCACCTCCCCAGAAGTTGTGAAGTTCCTTTTCAACATGGTGTCTTGTACATCTCATGGTTACAGTGGGTCAACCTGTATCCTTATTCCAGCATTCCCTTCCCCTCCCAAAATTAGAAAAATTCTTCTACCAGGAATTTTACCTGTTGGTATTGAAATTTTAGCCACCAGCATTTCTAAAAACAACAAAAACAAATTAGAAGATCTAACTGCATGGGTCGTCTAAGTGGGCCATCAGTGGAACCAGGTATGAGCGGCCTTGTTAGGCAGAGTACTTCTCAGTGGCCTCATTGCCTCTGCTATCTACCTATCTTCTGTATGGACTTTATATCTGTGACTCACATGAAAAGCCTTTTGTGGGTAGATATGGTTCAAATCTCTATTCCATAGCTCCAGCTTCTTCTCCATCTTCTCATGTCATCAGTAGTAGTGTATCTATGCATTCTGCCCCCAAATCCCATTGGTAACAAAATTATGGCATGCTAATTTTTTTTATCATTTCTTTTGCCTTCTTTTATCACCATCTTCTTTGTATTCTTGAAAAGAAATTACTACAAAGTCTTTCTGTTTTGCAGCCACCAACATTGACTTTGTCCTTCTTGGCTCTTTGTTTCTCATCTATACTCTGTCTCCCATCCAGTTCCTGTCCCACTGCACATGCATTGACTGAGATCTATGTTGGCACTATCTCCGAGCAGCTTGTCTTACTCTAGTTCGGCTCAATCTGTTCTGCAGGCAGGGACAAGAATAGGCTCAGGCAAAATCCACTTTCATGTTGTCACTTTTCCTTTCAGAAAGCTGCTGTGATCACTCATCCCCTAGTACAGTATATCAAATAAAACTCGCTTTTCTGTATTTGCAAGGCTTTCTCAAATAACTCCATAACTAGACTTTATATTTCTTTGTCTTTTAAAAAATATTAATCTAATTGAATTGTGATTATTTACAACTTGAATATAATGTACTTAGATCAAATTCACCCATCTATGTTACTGTTTCTTATCCATGTTTCATCTTCTCTACCTCCCTACTCCATTTTTTAAAAATTATTTTTATTGAAAAGATGATGAGCAGGGGGGTAGGGGGGCTTACAGTTACATAAGTAAGGTAATGAGTACATTTGGTTTTAATCATTGTTACCCCATCCCTCATTTTCTCCTGCTTACCCTCCCTATTCCCTCCCTCCAAGTTGTAAGGTGATATCCAACATAGTGTCAAGTGAATATCAATGTTGCATTGGTTCATCTTTGGTTCATCATGCATTTTGTTCATCATTCCCTTTCCCTTCCATATATTGATTAATCTCATATACAAGGCACAAGGTATCGAAAACTAAGAGAAATGAAAAGAAAAAAATTACAGACAGCACCTAATAAGAACCTCTTGTTTTTATATCTTGGAGTTCATGTTGATGTGCTTCATTATATGTGGTCCTATGCACTAAGCAATGGGTTATTGAGATCCTCTGTTAAGAATATCATAGACATATTCTAGTTCTTACAAATGAGAGAACGCATACAATCTACTTTTCTTTGGGTCTGGCTTACTTCATTTAATTTTTTCCAAGTCTTTCCATTTTCTTAAAAATGGGAAAATGACATTCTTTCTGATGGAATAACAACTTCACTCTGTGTGTGTGTGTGTGTGTGTGTGTGTGTATCACATCTTCTTGATCCATTCATCTACTGAGGGACATCTGGGTTGGTTCTATATCTAGCTATGGTAAATGATGCTGCAATGAACATGGTTATGGTGATAGCTTTAGTATGGCCTTGTTTTTGGTCACTTGGGTAAATGCCCTGGAGTGGGATTGGGAAGCTCTATGTGTAGTATTTTGAGGAATCTCCATACTACTTTCTAGAGTGAATGGACAAGTTTGCATTCCCACCAACAGTGTATCCCAACTCCTTTTTGATGGGTCTTTTTTTCTTTTTAAGATATATTTTTATTGTGAAGGAACTGTACAGAGGGGTTACAGTTACATAAGTAAGGTAATGAGTACATTTCTTATTGAGCATTGTTACATCCTCCTTTGTTTTTTCCCTACCATCCATTCCCTTCACACCTCTCCAACTCCTCCCTCCACCCCCCCCCCCATAGAGTGTCTTTTTTTATTGTGAGAATACCGGACTTTGATGGATCTTATTGATGAATTTCTTTCTTTTCTTTTCTTTTCTTCTCTCTCTCTCTCTCTCTCTCTCTCTCTCTCTCTCTCTCTCTCTCTCTTTCTTCTATAATGTTTTTCTCTCCCCTACTACGTTCATTTTGACTTAGACTCATTTTTATTTCTTAAACTCAATTTGCTGGATTCCTCTTTCCAAATCCAAATCTCCCCTTGCTCCCAGTTCAATTCCACCTATTCCTCCATACTCACCCTGGATTTTCCCACCCTCCTCCCATCCATCTTGATTATTGAGTACTCTGCATTGCTTTTAAACATTCATAGGTCAGAGCACAAGTAAGCTTAAAATTAGGTTCTGTCTCATATTGGCTGGGTAATATCAGGTCTTACTGATCTCCATTATCTTAGTTGCAAAAAAGGCATTAATTATTCCATTCTTCTTGAGTTGTAGATTAAATGTAATAATGATTGCCAAGGGCCTGGCATCTGTAATCAGTAAGCCAATATTTTAGAGGCTGTCTCCAGCCACACCACATGTTCAAAAATTTGAATTAAACATTCTTTGAATCAAACAAACAAATGGACAAAACAAAACTGGTTTTCTGACTCTCTATCCTTATACCTTATACAGGACCCAGTAGAGATTAAGTATTCAATGATTGTTAGTAGAAAAATAAAGACAGACTATGATCATTTATGGCAGAGATTGATTATTGTGATCAAAATTGTTATTTCACAAGTCTTTGCCATCACACTATGAGTAGGTATGTGTATGGTAAGAATGCATGACATTTCCTGTCTGTGTAGCTGACTGAAACTATGTCTTAGAATGGCTACAGATTCATGATTACCTTCAATGGACAATGTCAGGAGGTTTGAGGATGTGTCAGTGTTCTGTATCCTTTGGTAAGTTTTTGCCTTCCATCACCCTGTCATCTATATAGGATAAATATATTATGCATTTATCATATTTGCATATGCATAGTGTACAAGTGAGTACTCAAGACTTTTGTAGTTAATCACTCTTGGCTATTTCTTTATTTCAGGAATTTAGATCAGAAAAGGATTTTTCATTTCTTAGGGTTTCATCTTGTTTGCTTTCAAAATCTAAGATGCAAATATATAATCTTTGGTAATTGACCCTTCTCTTATTTGAAAGCATTTCCAGCCCCATTCACCATGAACCCTGTTATCACAATTAAAATGAAAATTAAATCTTGTTCGGATAAATTTTCCCAAGAACTCACCCCGGTGTTTTCTCCCATTTCATGTGTATGCAAACACCTTCTACTTGTAAAAGGAAAGTGCCAAAATAAGTGATGTTGCATTCAGTATGCAAATAGAAGTTTTACAGAGATAAGGTTGTATTGGAGATAAAATTAATTGTGACAGTTCAGGAGGAGTTTTGCATAAAAAGAATATTAACATGTTAGGTCTGCAGCTGTCTTCCATGATGCATAAAATGGTAGGCAAAATGAAGTCTTCAAGCCTAGTGGAAGAATGTTTATTGAGTCCATAGAAATTTGATCAGGGTATACTCTAAGGGTTCATGACAGTTTATTTTCTTTTCTCAGTGTGGATGAATTGCCCCATTAGCATCTAAGCTAGAAATCATGATGATGATTCTTTAATAAGTCTCCCTTTCTCTTCTGTTTGTAAAGAAACTTACATGGAAAATGTGCCCTGTTTTCACTTATTTGCAACTAAGTTGTTCTTTCAAATCACAAGTTCAGTGATAGCACTGAGCTTCTGTGTCATTTATGTGGACCTAGTAGAAAGAATTGTATAATTAGACCAGACCCTAACTTTATTTTATTTTTCAACATAGGTTAAATAATACAGTGTTATTGTCCTAAAGTCACATTTTCAAGGTACATTTCTTTTCAAATGATTTTTACAATGTTAATACAAGGAGTCTATTTATATATGTACTTACTTTTTTTTCCCTCGAAGGTAACCAACATGTCTGACAAAAGTGACTTAAAAGCTGAGCTTGAGCGCAAAAAGCAGCGCTTAGCACAAATAAGAGAAGAAAAGAAACGGAAGGAAGAAGAACGGAAAAAGAAAGAGGTAAATACTGGGTACGCAGGCATTTAGGGTAAAAGGAAAGATCACTGGATTCCCAGTGCTCTTTCTGTGAATAAGCAGGAAACCCCTCAAAGAATTCTTTTATGATATCTGAGCAAGATGGACAAGCTATCCACATAATAAGTTACTCTTATTGAATAGGTCATTGCATCTCCTGGGTGCTTACATCACCTAAATTGTGGGTAGGGTATAGCGCAGAGGTTCCCCAAACCCAGGTTCATTGCAAAGTGTAACTCTGAGATGTCTTTATTGTTGAGTATTCTTTAACTTTTTTCAGCCTCAGTCCTATTCTTAATAAGAAAACAATGGCATATTTATTTTGCAGGGTTGTAAAGATTAAAAGTTGTTGAGTTCCTAAGGCACTAGTACTTATCCTACAGCTGGTACTTGCTCATGGGACACAATTTCCTAGTCCAGATTATTTGCCTTAAAACTGAAGAGTAGAATCTAGTGCCTACTGTACTTGGCAAACGATTTCGAGCTGAAAGGGAAAACATGCATAGTCTTTCATAGTATGTGATTAGTATTTTGTTCAATTTTTTTTCTTTATTTTCTGGTAGTGAAAATAGACCAAATATAGCTGTTTAGAATAAAAAAAATCTGGTATACCACATACCAATGCTTAGGCTATGGTTAGTACTTAATGTTAGTTTTAGTAAGGGTGTGTGTGTGTGTGTGTGTGTGTGTGTGTGTGTGTGTGTGTGTGTGTGTGTGTGTGTGTGTGTGTGTGTGTGTAGTCATATAGTACTGGAATTTAAATCAGGGCTGTCTCATAGCTTTTTCACTCAAAGCTGGCACTCTGTCATGCTGAACCACAGCTCTACTTCCTAATTTTTGCTAGAGAATTGGAGATTAGAGTTGCACAGACTTTCTTCTCTGGGCTGGCTTCAAACTTCAGTCCTCAGATCTCATTCTCTTGAGTAAGTAAGATTACAAATGTGAGCTACTAGTGCCCAGTGAAAAATGTATTTTTTGCAGGACCATTTTAGAAAAAATATAAAGTGGTGCCAATGCCTTTCCATTGATTTGTAAGAAACCTAGGTTAAAGGGAATATGAGTGAGAAGTGACTAGAATAATACAGGACACAGTGTTTGAAATAGAAAAAAAATTTAGAGACCCTTGGTCATGCTCTCTTTTTCCAACAGAATGGCAAAGACCCAGAGATGAAACACAGCTTGTCTGCTGTTCTACTCTGAATTTAAGACTCTTGACTCCTAGTTCACAGCTTGCATGTCTTTTTACCATCTCAGTCCAACAAATACCTTATTTTTAACATGTAGCAGTGTAGAAATAGCTCATATCTTATACAAAAAGCAGATGTCAAAAATATTTTGGAGTAATTTCCTATGAAGAAAATTTTGTGCAATATACTAAACTTCCATAGCCACCTTCTTACATACACAGGGTTTTTTCTTTAAGGAAGAAGATAATGTATTCTGATGCCTTGCAATTGAAATATAGTGTCTCATAGTACAAGGCTGGAAGGCCAGAGTAACAGATTTATAACAATTATGATTTTCCAACAAAATAAGACATAATTGTAGATACATTTGAGCTTTTACATTTGAGAGATGGGCATCTTCCATCTCTCTACACCATTGCACTTTGATTGATGTAATAATTTATTTGTCCTTGACATCATACGTAATGATTTTTCTATGGAGATGCTTGCTGTTATATATGCTGGTTTTGGGTGAAATAGAGGTGAGATTTGACATGGAATGGCTATTCATTTCTATGCAAAGCCAAAAAAGGCATTAAGTTATTATGCTTCCTTTCCTTCAAATGTCAACCCTTACTGTAGTCTTAAAGCACCTGTTATCCTTTACTAATAACCAGTTTCCTTTGAAACTGACATTCTAATATACAACTTGACTTTCATGGAATTACAACAAAATGCGATATGATGTAAAAAATCAGACTTCAAATTATGCTGTCTGCTCTTTTCCCCCCCATTTTATGCATTTGGGGAAATTATAGGCAAACACAAGACAGACCCAAACCACCTCCTTGTTTTGCTGTTAAACCAACTAATTTTGCCCAATGGAGATTTAGCCTCTTCTAGAGCAAAAAAGAGCCTGAGGAGAATGGGGATGGCAAGTGGTAAGGAGTGTGGAACACCTGGAATCGAGGTGTTCTTCGGTCTCTACCTCGTCTGGAATTTAACTTACAACAGGTCTCTCTTTTCCCATTTCTAAAAGCATAAAGTAATAATAACTGATAGCCTGTGAAAACTTGGCTACTCAGGGGGTTGAGATCTGCGCATCACAGTTTGAAGCCAGTCCAGACAGACAAAACCAAGAGACTCTCATGTTCAGTGACCCAGTAACAAGCTGGAAGTGGAAATATGGCTCAACTGGTAGAACATCAGCCCTTGAGCAAACTACCTAAAGGACAGTGCCCAGATCCTGAGTTCTAACCCTAGTACTGGCTCTAAATAAATAGAGTGGTGAAAGAAAAGAGAATATGCTTTTATGCTCTCCCTGTGAAGAGATAGTGTGGTTCATAAAGAGATATATAAGCACAGGTTTGACATCCCTAATCTAAAAATCAGAAATGTTTTAATACTGATTTCAGCTTAGTTTGTTTTAAACCATGATAAACTTATATCTCAAAAATGATTAATGTTCATATTTATATGTTTTCGTAAATAATTTTACTTTCCAACGATTCCTATTTGCACCATTGCAGAGATATGATATGAATAGTCCAGACACACACACACACACACACACACACACACGCACACACACACACACACACACACACACACACACACATTGAGGACTGCAGAAGGGACAAGGAGATCTGACAAGGCAAAGTTCTTTGCAGGCATTCTAATTCTTTTTTTTTTTTTTTGCCGGTCGTGGGGCTTGAACTCTGGGCCTGGGCGCTGTCCCTCAGCTCTTCAGCTCAAGGCGAGCGCTCTACCACTTGAGCCACAGCGCCACTTCCGGTTTTCTGGTGGTTTATTGGAGATAGGAGTCTCACAGTCTCTCCTGCCCGGGCTGGCTTTGAACCGCGATCCTCAGATCTCAGCCTCCTGAGTAGCTAGGATTACAGGCGTGAGCCACCAGTGCCCGGCTCTAATTCTTATCACAAAGACTTTACCTTGATGTTCTCTCCTGAAACGGTGTGAGAGGAACTTTCACACTATGTGATATAGAACCAGAAAAAAAAAAAAAACCTTCGACCAAAAGACAAAGCATGAGGTCAGTTAGCATTAAATGGAGAAGTTACAGTATATTTTTCATCCTTCATACTTACTTACATTTTCTGCTTCCACCAGGAAAAGCATAAATATAGCCATGCTATTCACTTTCCTTACTGACATCTCATCATTTTAGGCGGATATGCAGCAGAAGAAAGAACCTGTTCAGGATGACTCAGATCTCGATCGCAAGCGTCGGGAGACAGAGGCTTTACTTCAGAGCATTGGTATATCGCCCGAGCCACCTCTAGGTATTTAACAATACTTTGAGTTACAATTGCTCAAGTAGACTTGAACAGGATATACCATGTCCAGAATTTACTAATCTTTTAAGTCACTAGCTTTATGGACTTTACTTTTTTTTTTTTCTAATTTTAAGAAATTCTGTGTTAATGGTTCAGGTTGCATGTAGTTTTGGAACTGAGGGGGCTGGAAGGAGATGGGAAGGAGGGTTGGAGAGTCATTAAGTGTTTGCTAATGACTTATTGATTGCCTTTGTGGTCAAACTCTTCCATCATGTTATGAACAATTTTTTTTAATGTTTGTTGAATGAGCTACCACTTGGTAAATGTAAAAAGTCTTGACTTTTTTTTTCAGTAAATATTCTTCTTTTCCATTGCTGAATCCAACTTCATTTTGCCTATATAAATGCTGTAAATCTAGTTAGAAATGTCATAACCATCACAGACATGTCATTCAATGCTGAAAAGAGCATGCTTAGTGGGAAAATTCTAGGAAACTTACAATCTGCAGACTAGTAGCTGCAACCAACAAGTTTAAATTGATTGATTAGACAATTGTGTATCTTGATTTCATTGCTAATTGGTATTTTCACTGACATACCCCTCCTCCAACTCATTCATTCCCAGCTGGTAACTCATGGATCCTTTTTTTTTTTATTCCTAAGGTCTGCTATTATTTATTTTATTTGTGTTGATGGTAACAATGCATGCACTTATTTGCCACTGACCTGACCATTACTTTATTTTTCCTTTATTCTTTTGGTTTTCCATACATTTAAGAGTAAGCCTCGGGTGTCCATAAAACTACACGATAGCCAATATAACAAAGAAACTTTCAAAATAATTCATTGAAATAAATATAATATCAGAATCAGTTCAAAATGGTTTATCTTTCCTTAATTCTGTAACTGAATTCTACATTAAATAAAATTTCATCTTACACTAAAAATAAAATTTCTTTCCCATAGTTACTTATATTAAGAATAAAATTCGTCCATATTCAACACACTTCTAATTAGATTATTTTACTTAACCTTTTTATTATGAAAAATTGAATCTGGAGTATCTTATGGATCTCCTTTGAGAAGCAGGTACTTTGCTGACATTGATGTAAATTAGACACCTTGCAATCTCTTATATTTGTTCCTCAAAATAGTCTTTGAAATGTGGTTGCTATGTCAACACTGATTAAGCACATTAATAGTACATCATATTTTTCCTACCCTACATAAAGCCAGTATTTAAATTTTGAAAGGCAGAATACTGAACTATCCCTAACCCATAAATAAGTTCTCAATTCTCCTTGCATCTCTTTCACAGGTCTCTGGCAAGGATGGCCATTTTCATTTTTCATCTATCTTTCCAACATACATTTGCCTTAGCATGGAGGGAATGAAGGAGTTAAGTGAAAATCCACGTGAGAATTTCCAGCTCCTTGACAGATGTGGCATTGGATCCTATAACAGATCTGTGATAGGATTTGGACAAAATAATTAAGCCCTTTACCCTATTAAATAAAAAACAAAAGGAAATTGCACCTGATTGAAACCAAATGGGAATCTGCCTTTATGTACTTTCTGCTCATAGGCTTCTTTGCTATGTGAGATAATAAGAACCCCTTGTTGTCTGGCCTAAAGCCATCCTGGCTAGTTGGTGCAGCTTCTAACTGAAAGATATTTGGCTTATATCTGAAGGATGGAGATGAAAAAGACATTTGCATTTTGATTGGCCTTTTCTCTCAGACTTTCAGCTCATGCTGACATGAGCCTTTGAACTTCTTTCCTGGCTTTAGACTGGCAGCTCACTTCCACACATCTGGCCATGTCTTTTAGAGTTGTGGGAGGCAAAGGAAAACAAGTCCCCAGCTCAATAAATAGTACAATGGCATGAAACCATTAATTAGATGTAAAAATAAAGCAGCCTGGCATTTCCCTTGGTTTCAAGAGAGATTTCTTTAAATTACCAGGTTCAACATTTACTCTTCCTCTATCTGTCATGTATCCTGGCAAAGTAGTTTATCCAACATAAGCCATGAATTTCATTCCAACATACAGCAGATGTTCTGACTTTCCTTGGCCATTTAAAAATTATTTCATAACCTTTTATAGTTTTATAGACACCCCACATTGTTTCTTTCGTAGGTCACATCTATACTAACAAAATAAAGTGAAGAATTGGAATTATCTGGATAGTTCATATTGGACGGATGATTAATTTGAATTATCTGGATAGCTATTTTGGTTCTCCATTTTACTTTGTTTAGGTCGACATGGCCTGTCAATCCTTAAATTAATCCTGTCTAAATTCATTTCAAATTTTAATTTCCAAATAATGAATAATTCACTTGACTTTCTTCCTTTTCTTTCCTTTTTTTTTCCTTATCCCATTTCAATCTCTCCTGATCATACAACCACTTTAATTTGGGCCCATTTGCTTTGATTTGTCTGACACTGCTCTTCTCCAGTGCAGCCGCTGCATTTTTTAACATGGGATACCTGTTATTTTCATTATTTAGTCCCAACCCCTATGTCTCCCTCCTCGAAATCAGTGAGCACTCCCAGTGAAGCTGGAAGCCAAGACTCAGGCGATCTGGGACCATTGACAAGGTAAGAATTGTCTCTTTATAAGGCTGAGTGGGATGTCAATTCTAAAAATGAACACTGCTAATTGTGCATGCATCTACATGTATGCTTCAGTCATTTGGGGCTTAAACTCATGCTGACTTGCTCTCTTTAGCAGCATAGCAATGCCATTAAACACTAGAAATGATAAACATCCATCATTCTTCCTTAAATGGGCTAGCTAATTTAGAACCATATGCCTTACAAACAAAACATAAACATTGATTAGCATAGGCATAAGTTTTCATTATTCTACATTGTTTTTGGTTTCTAACCCCAAAGATAATTTCTTTAGCATCATATTTACTTATGCAATAGAATTGGCTAATTTCAATTGGCTAAATGGGTGGTTGTTAGTTAATTAGGGTTGACTGCTTCTACTTAGTGAGTCAGTAAACTATATGCCATCTATAAACTTTATTATAATATCACCTATGCTCATAGATTATGATCTTCTGTAAGAGGATATAGATAATCTCTACTCTTACCGCTGAAGAGAGTTATCTGTAAGGTAAAGATGTGAAAAGAAGAAAGAAGATTAATTAATATGGATAGAGTCATGGTAAATCCTTAATAATTCTTGTTCCTCAGGTGATATGGGTGAGTGTAGAATGGGGCCTTTAGAAGCTTCTTAGCACACATCAAGTTATTTTAAAGTACAGATGGCCTTCTTTCAGCTTAAGGTAATTGAGCTCACTGGGAAATTTAGGCCCAATTTTCTCCACATTTTGCAATATTTCATGAGAAATAGAAATTCACATTTATGTGCAGGATTCATGTTTGTGTAAGTCATATTTATTCAATAAATATGGAGGATAAGTGACTTTTGTTCAAGTCAGTTAGGGGCCAGAATTGGCCTACAGCTGGGCAGTTTGTGGCCTCTAGCTGTGCCTATTAATTTAATAATGATCATAAAACACTTAAATCAATCTTGAAGTAAAAGAACAGAAATCGTCAGCACTGCTCTGCTAGCAGATCAGTCTTTTAGTCTGACTGTGCTCCTTTCAACCCTTTTCTACCTGAGTAAAGTTTTTGCTACTATTTTGGGAGGAGGATGTACAAAAATTTTCTTTATCCACCCAATGCATTACTATAAGTATTTTCTTCTGAAAGTGCATGCTTCCATTGAGGCCTGGACAGTTTAATAAATGAAGCTGTGGATTTAACAGATGTAGTGTCATGCACCTATAATTCCAGCTCTTGGGAAACTGAGGTGGCAGGATTGCAATTTCAAGGTCAACTTCAGCTTCATTGTGAGACCCTGTCTCAAAGGCCAAATCAAACCAACCAACCAACCAAATGATGAAACAAACAAATCCACTATATACCTTGAGGTATAAGCTTTTCTGGCATTTACAAACCAAGAGGTAAGACCAGAATTATCTCACTCATATTGTCTCTTCATGGGCTTCACACCAACCAGCAGACACAGCTTTCAATTTGAGAAAAATGAATGTAGGGTTTTTATGTGGGCCCAAAACTGCTTTATTTTAGCAAATCACCTTTGTGCTTTGGAGTAGCATGTATCTTTTGTCATCTTTTGCTTGAACACTTCTCAAAAAGATCTTTGAAGGAGTAAAGTAATAATAACACAGTTGTGTAAGCTCATTTATTTCATTTATTCGCAGACTGACATAATGTAATCGTATTCCTTAGGGGGTCCATTGCCCTTGCCTTCACACTAATATAGCTTGACTGTTTCTATACAATGATGGTGTGGTGTCATTATCACATAGCGTCAAGGAGAGCACTTAGCAGCATTAAATTCTATTACTGACTACACAGTTGATGAGCCCTTTGGAAAACTTTCTAGAGAAAGCTAACCTATGCTGTTAGAACTATGAGGACAATAGTAATCATTCCTTTTCAAAGAACATTTCTTTCACCTTCTTAACTTTTTTTAAATTTGGTGAATCACTTTGGAAAAGTAAATTTATTTCCTTCTTCCCACACACAAAGTTTAGGTCTCAACTCTTTATAGGAAAATTCAGGCAAGAGTATATACAAACAGAAGTTAGTGAGTAAATTCCTTGTTAAATTCAGGTCTCATAGGGATACAAGAAAATTGGCATTAAACAAAACAATAGCTTTCAGACAAACAACCCAAAGTTTGCTTGAGAAGAATGAGTTAGGAGCAGCTTGTTTTGAGCTTAAAATTCCATAGTAATTTATGGTTTTGCTTTAACAAAATGAATATGAGAATTAAGTTACCGGAGAATATAATATTTTGGTATATAAAATTCCACCTAGTATGCCTTTTGTGTTCAGCAATATCTCTGAAAACGATTATCATTAACTTTAACAACTCAAAAAGCCCAAGACTAGGAAAAAACTAAATCTAAATCTTCAGTAATAATCTTTCCTATTTGTATAGAATTTGGTCTCTTCCAGAAAATTGGAATCAAATTAGCTTGTCTAGTCATCTGAAAAGTGTAAATTCTGTCAAATTTTTAGTCCTAAATAAAATTTTCTTTACAGAGCCAGGATTGGCAAACATTTCTTATAATTCCTGGAATGGCTAATCTGAAAATTGATGTACCCTATTATACAGAAAAGATTAAAGTAGTTTTTTATAAACTAAGGAGCTGTTAACAAAATTCCCTTTTATTGATTTTATGATGATGGAGTCTATGTTTAAGTAGAAATATATAATATTTTTAAAATTATGCTAGTATAGCTTAATTTGAAAACTTTTTAAAAGTTAAAATGCCACAGTTTGTTTTGTAATTTCTCATGGTGTTATAGCCCATTTTCTATTTATAGCATATGTGTGACATTTTTTTCTGGTTTTTCAACTGGTTTTGGTAAAATTAATCATTCCTTAGTTAATCACAATGAGCAATAAAGAATCTCTTACATTTTCAATTTTTTGTTAATAAAACATTTGAAAAGCTGATTTTTATTTGAATATCAATTTAAAATTCCTTAATATAAACATAAACTAAGATGTGACATGGAATCTTTAATATATGATATGGAATCCAACACAACATAAGGATGGTATTATGAATGATTCATCAGTATAGATTTAAGAATTCAAGGATTTTTTCAGAAAGGAAAACGTGTGAGCATAATTTAGCATATGAGAAAGTCAAGTAAGGAGATGTGGCCATTGCAATAAAAATTTAAATGATATTTGAGAATTTTAAATATGTTTCTCTACTTTTTGGTTTTGTTTTTAAAAATATTTCCATTGTTATTATAAAGGTGATGTACAGAAGGGTTACTGTTCCATAAGTCAGGTAATGAATACATTTCTTTTTAGATGTTACCCCTTCCTTTTCTCTCTCCAAGTTTTCCCCTCCCATCTCCATCCACAGGTTGTACAGCTCATTTTCAACACAGTGTCTAGTTTGTTTCTTAATTTCAAAGCTTAGCAATCTAGAACATGAATAATTTTCTTAATATTTTAAGGACTGTTGACTTGACACCAACACCCTATGTCCTTTATACACAAGTCTGAAGGATATACCCTTTATAACTCTTGAGGAAGAATAGACTTGTTGAAAACATCTATTCCTCAAGAAACTAAAAATTTCCTTGCAATTAGGGATGAAGTGCTATTTGAGGTTGTGTCTCTACAGGAAGTATTTGATAAGTGTTTATTAAATGAATGGACTGTCCTCCTATTTGTTTATAGATGAAGTCACTAAGGCAGAGAAAGAATTGGTCATTTTCTCAGGTTTACAGAGAATATAGTTAAAAGTGCTAGGTTTTAACCTACGCAGATTGATAAACCCAGCCTTTCTTAGGGCCACTGCCCAGTAAATTCTCAAATAAGAACATTCGATTGGTCTAGGATAATTTTCTTGTGGGTAGCTTGTGCTGGCTGCACGCAAACATTTCCTTTTCTGTGTGATCTTAGGAAAAGATAATGCTCCTGGGCCTCACAGCCAACAGAAAATCCTCAGAGCTTCCATCTTCCATGGTTATCTACTAGCAGATTAGGCAGAACCCTGTCTGGAAACACGGGCCTCTAAGGACTTCTGACACCTTTTGGTGGAAGCATCGTCCTCTCCCATGGTGATCTGATGAAACACTAGCTGAAGAGGAGGCATTAAGAAGTTATTAGTAAGGGTGAATAAAATATGCAAATACAACTTAAGTATGCACCCCTACCAGGGAAGTTTATTAAGACTATTAAACTTTGTAGGCTGAAATAATTTTATGGTTCTGTAAAGAGAAGTTTTGAGTTTCTTGGCTTTCCTGCAGTCTGGTACTGATTTAAGCCTGATTTTAAAAAAAATGGGCGTCTTTTTAAAATAAGATTTACATTCTGAGGGCTTCTTTTTGTGTAGCACATTAACTGGTTAGTTCAAAATCTTTTATTTCTTATCACTCTGTCTTCAGGCACAATGTGCCATATGTACCCACACAGTTACATTAACAAAGCAAGCATCTGTTTTAGCAGGAGGATGCTGTTTCTCCTTCTAGAGAAACTGCTTGCTTGGCAGCAGGTCTCATGTACAATTTGAGAAGAATATTGCTTATGCTATAATGGAAGTCATATTTTTTTAATCCAGCTCAGATAGACTTCCCAGTAACTTAGTGTGGTGTGCATCAAAGCCCACTGTTAGCACCTGCATGTTAACCAACAGAGGAAATATTCTCAACAGCAAATTAGAAAAAAAAAAGCCTTATAAAAAAGAAAATGAGGGGCTGGGAAGGTGGCTCAGTGGTAGAGTGCTTGCCTTGTATGCCTGAGGCCCTGGGTTCGATTCCTCAGCACCACATAAGCAAAAAGAAGAAAACCGGAAGTGGTGCTGTGGCTCAAGTGGTAGAGCACTAGCCTTGAGCTGAAGAGCTGAGGGACAGTGCCCAAGCCCAGAGTTCAGGCCCCACGACTGGACCCAAAAAAAATTTTTTTAATAAATAAAAGAAAAGAAAAAGAAAATGAACTTGAAACCAGGTGCTAATGGCTTATGACTGTAAGCCTAGCTACTCAGGGGGGTGAGAGTGAGACTGGTGGTTCAAAGTCAGCCTGGCAGAAAAGTCTATAAGATTCTATCTTGAAAATAATCAGCACAAAGTTGGCTGGAGGAAGGTATGGCTGAGGTGGTATAGCATCAGGCAAACAAGCAAGCTGAGTACATGAGAGGTGCTAAATTCAAGTCCCACTAATGGCAAAAGAAAAAAAAGAAAAAAACTTTATCAACATCATTGCTTGTCTTAAGTAAGGAAATAATTGGAATCTAGGTGTAATAATTATTTAAAGAGCACTTTTATTTATCTACATTTTAGTGACTGTGACAGATTGATATGATAGAATTAAATTTTTTATTTTTCAATGTCTTACATTTGGAAATGGCATTTAAAATTAGCTGTGGGGGAAAGATTTTGGCACTATGTTCATATTGGCCCAATCTGTTTTCCTTGTCTAAGAGCAGTGATTTGCTTGACTGTGAAGATGTGTAGAACAAGAAGAAACTGAGATCTAGAGAATCATGGTTCAAGGTCAGCTGGGGCAGAAAGTTCATTAAACATATCACCAGCAAAAAGTACAAGGCTAGAGGTATTTCTCAAATGGTCATATGCCAGCTTAGTAAACCTGAGTCCCTGAATTCAAATCCTAATGAAAACAAAAACAAATAATAAAAAGAGATAATTCAGAGAAATTATGGGTTTTTTTCAGAAGATATGCAGACATACATACAATTACCTACCAGTAGAGCACAAAAGGAAGAGTGAAGACATAATCCTGGTTGTCGAATACTTATCTCTGAGGGATGGAAAGAATAGGGATTTGCCAAATTTATGGTGGGAGGAGGTTTACAATGAGATGAGGAAAAGCAACAGGATTTTTAGTGACAAGAAATCTAAACAAAAAATATTCCATGGAGGAGCCAAGTGAACAGAATCCTAGGGTTCAAGACAGGGAATAAGAATTAAAAGTATTATTTGGTGATATGGAAGTCCTCATTATCATCACCACAATTATCATCATCAGTTTGGTTATTATTATTGATGATACACTTTTATACTATAGCCTAAGTTCCTGGTAATAAGCCCAATCTAGAGCAATTATGATTCTTGCTATACTTTGATATATTGCTTCCCCAAGGCCTCAAAATATTAAATTCTACCAGCATCATGTGAATGTGCTTTAGCCACGTGTGTTAGTATTACAAATTAACAACTATCTTTCAAATATCTATTAGACATCTTCCTTAATAACTGAAACCTGAAAAAGGTAAGATATATTTTATGGAAAAATTTTTAAGGCTTTCTATGCTAGATCTATCTAATAAAGTTAGGAGACAAATGGAAGTTACCAAAATGTTACTCATAGAGAGGGAGCAGAAAGAAACTATCCACTTAGCAGAGGCAAAATATATTCAACTCAGGGCATGCCTTTTGTACTTAAATTGTATTTTTAGCAGATGGCCAGAGATTATTAATTTTATTTTGATTTTTAGTTTTTAACCTACCTTTAGTAAGCTGAAACTGAGCAAATAAAATTGACCTAATGAAGGGAGAATTTACAAGCAGTTGGTTAGTATTGAATTGGTAAAAGGTTTTAAAATATGAATTTCTAGTAGTCTCTTACTAGGTCACTGTTAGTTTGAAGAACTTTGACACTGTCTATTCTTTTGTACAATAAATAGTAAACACACAGAGAGAAAAAAAGAAATTGACCATGGAATTTTAAACTGTTACATGTTAGACCTTTTTTATTAGATGTAAAAGGATATATTATCTAGAATGTTTAGGGTCAGATAACCAATTATTTCCCATAGGGTGAGAAGCTGCTATACTTCTAGGATCTCAAAACAAAGTTGATAAATGTGACCTTGATTGATACGTCTATAACTCTCAATTCAAATGTAGGCCCATCAAATTATAATAACTAATGCCCCTTGATCTACAACAGACAAGAAATTGCTGTGCAAACAGCAGACCTCCTATAAAAGGAATATTTTAGAATTTCTCTCTTAGACTCTCAGAAATTTAACCTATGAAATTAGCTCAAATTTGTAGAGGAGATAAATACATCCCATAAAAATAAGCAAACAAATCAGGCTGGCTTTCCAACGAAGAATAGTATATAGACATCTAACTGACATAGTTAAAAGGATCCCGAATATGTCAGTGAGAAAGTGCTGGATTGATTAGTCTATGAGTTCGAGGGAAATGTCGGTCACAGTGAGAAAATATGTGTGAATTTAATGAAGGACGAGAACATGAAGGAAAGACGGTAGGGGAATCTATGGTAGTTAAAACACTCAGATTTACTAGTTCTAAACTCAGAGGCTGGAGCCATCTGACTTCCCAAGACTGATCTTCAAGTAGAGAAAACTATCAGGCTTATACGGTGGATTTGCCTGGAAGTTATGATTCTGGCAATGCATTGTTGAATCAGAATCTAAAGCAGTATAACAGTGTCTTACACAATATAGTAGATTTACTCAGCTGCACAAGTCCAATAAACCAGGTACAGATGGAAATACATGTATGTCCAAATCCCACCCCATTCTAAGAATCAGGTCAATTTGGCATCTCTGATCTTATCAGAAGATATAATCTGACTTCTAAAGGATGTACCTGGTTGGCTGACATAGAGCAAACACCACACCAATTGCCTTGGTAATTATTGAGATTCTATGCAATATCTTGTGAAGTACTTAAAAGATACAATTAAGGCCGGCATATTAGAGATAAATGGCATTTTTGATGACTGTTTTGGTATAATCCACACAGATAAATACATGAAAATACCCATGAGTCTCAAGTCTAATACATTATATTTTTAGTAAGTGACTCAAGGAAGTCACTATTGGCCAGAACCTACTGTCTTGATTCATCTAACTGGATTTCCCAAGGCTCCTGCCCTAGCTCATTTGTATTTAGTTCTTCTCAGGGCATGGAAGATACTGGGTGCTCCCAAGGGTAGATGGGCACTGGGGTATCAGAGATGCATGCTGCAGTTTACATGCTCAAGCCAATCAGTTGTCAGTACAAACTAAAACAAGCAACGGGTCAGTGTGTGTGTGTGTGTGTGTGTGTGTGTGGTGTGTGTGTGGTGTGTAGTTTGAATATTTGGCTTCAAGCTTTCTTCCATGGAAACAACCATATCCTCCAATATGTAACAGATGTGAAAGGGAAGGATGAGCCCTCACTGAGTCATTCAGTAAGCACTGGGCATGGAGAGGAAGAAGTAGGAACATGTTATCTGTGTGTATTATGTATCGTATACACCGTTTCCTTGACGAATGACATAGTTCGGTTTGGTGTGTTGCCCTCCCTTTTTGTTAATACTCTGTGTTCTTTTTCCTTTGTGCTGCACGATTAGGACCCTGCAGTGGGACACAGACCCCTCAGTGCTCCAGCTGCAGTCAGACTCAGAACTTGGGTATATGTCTGCTCTTTTGTTACTCCTTTCATTTAATATTTTGTTGCTATAGTTGTGTTGAAATGCTGGAGCTGTTGCTGCCCGTGTTTTTCCTCTCCTTTTGTTGAACTTGCAGTTTGATAAGTTTATTTTCTTCTGTTAGTTTTCTTTTATAAATCTTTGAAGAAAGTCTCTCTTTGTGGTAACCACCACAAAAAGATGGCTTTTGATCTCCCCATATTGATCCTTGTTATTAAAAACAACACTACCCAAAGCAAAACTACAAAGCCAAAATCACAACTTTATTTACAAGTGGAGTATACACGTTCTGTCATAACAGATATGTTTTCTAACCATTCTCTCCTTTACTAACAAGTTATTTTAGGATAATTCTGTCCAGGATTGGTATTAAAATGTTGTGTCCTGTTCATTTCCTTTCTTCTGTCACTCTATGGAGAATTTAGATAGATTTCTATGAAAGAAAAAGCAAATTTGTTTAATACCTCAAGTATTTTATGTTGGGTGATATATTTTAAAGATAATGTTTCCAGAGGAAGATTTATTGTTCTTGACAATACTTGGGGCATTATATTTTTTAAATAAACATTTTAAAGGAATAACTAAAGTTCATTATTGAGGGAATACAGTGATAAATTATTATATCATAGTGGATTCAGTGTTGGAAAAGTTTCTTTCATGCTTATTTTCAATCTGAATATCTTTTCTGATGAAATGTCTGCATAAATCTTTTACATTTATTGTGTTAGATTTCTGTGGCTGTCACATGCTCCCCGAGAAAGTTAGTATTAAAGGAACAAAAGGCTTACTTGGGCTCATGGTTTTAAAGGTTTCAGCCCTTGGCCAGCTGGCTACATTGCTTTCAGGAGCCAAGTGGTGAGGTACAAGTGTTATAATGGAAGGGTGTGGCAGAGGAAGGCTGCTTACCTCAGGGCAACCAGACAGTAGATAGAGAATGAAAATGAGAGTGGCAAGAAATATGAGATGCCCTTACTGGTATACACCCCCCAGTAATCTACTTGCTCCAACTGGGCTCCACCTCCTAGCTTCTACTTCCTCCCAATAATGCCATCAATTTATGAATCTGTCAATGGATTAGTCCATTGATGAGGTTACAGTTCCCATGATGCAAAATCTTCCCCATATCCCCACCTCTGAGCCTTGTATTGGGCATCAAACCCTCAGCAACAAGTGAGACTGTGGAGACATTGCATATTCAAACCATAACACGTGTATATTTGTTTTATTTCATTGAATTTTTCTCATCACTGAGTTTTGTGAGTTCTTTATGTATTCAAGAAATTGTCCCTCATCTGATGCAATTTTTTAAAATATTTTTCCCAACCTGTGACTTGTCTTTTTCATTTTCTCACCAGTGTCATTAAGAAAGCAAACCATTTTTATTTCAACCAATTAAGAACCATTTTTATTTCAACCAATTCCTGTTTAAATTCTACAGATTCCTTGTCCTTCTACAGATCATGCATTTGTTGACACATGTTTAATTCCAGTGATTCATTATTTGACTGCAAAATATTTGCCTATGAAAACATTTGATATTATAACTTTATTATGGAAAAATCTTAAAACTATAATACTATAACTAATAGTAAAGATACAATTGAGTTTATATTTTTCAGTGTTAGCTTTAGTGTTCTGTGTCTTTCAAGTAATATACCCATTTCACCTTCATTGGCAAATTCATTGGCCTAAGAGTTAACATAATATTTTTAAATCTATAGATATAATCACCTTTCCTTCTGATATTGGTCAATTTTGTGTTTTTCTGTTAATACTTATGGCTAGGGGTTTATTTATTTTTACAGAATTAGAGAGAGAAAAATGACTCCATATTTGTGGAGATTTTAGCACAGTTAATGCTAGGCCATAGTGATTTGATTGGTGTGGAGAATTAGGTAAAGTTAAAAATTCAAATCTAAACTTCTTGTATGCCTCTTTCAAGGGTTCCAAATCAGCTTTCCTTTCCTGTTGTTAGTGGTAGTGGGTTTAATTTTATTCATTTATTTATTTTAATTTATTATTTACTTGTTTTGGTTTGAGCTTTTATTTTTGGCTGGGGTTTATAAATTTTATTTATTCTTTTTAAATTGTTTTATTGTAAAGATACTGTACAGAGGGGTTACAGTTACATGAGTAAGGTAATGAGTACATTTCCTATTGAGCATTGTTACCCTCTCCTTTGTTTTCCCCTACCATCTCTTCCCTCCCCACCTCCCCAATTCCTCCCTCTCCCCTGTGCCAAAGTTGTAAAGTTCAATTTCAACATAGTGTCTTGTACATCTCATTGTTACAATGGGGTCAAGCTGTATTCTTGTTTCAGCATTTTGTTATTTCTCTTCCCTTCCCCAAATTAGAAAAATGTATATACAAGATTCAGGGCACTGGAATCAAATACAGTGACAACAGGGATTATACCATGGGGGAAAAACATACAAAAGAAACAAAAAAATCACATGGTCCATTATAACTACATTAAAAACTACAGCCACAAAGATAAAACCTCTTTAGTTCCTCACTTGGGGTTCATTTCTCTTAGCATCATCTTATATGGTTAGATGTATATAGCTTTTGACCTTTTCTGCTTGTTCTAGACATATACTAGTTAATGAAAATAAGGGAAACCATGGGACCTACGTTTCTTTGGGTCTGGCTTACTTCACTTAATATAATTTTTTCCAAGCCTTTCCATTTCCTAACAAATGGGGCAATGTCATTCTTTCTGATGGAGGCATAGAATTCCATTGTGTATATATACCACATTTTCTTGATCCATTCATCTACTGAGGGGCATCTAGGTTGGTTCCATGTCTCAGCTATGATGAATAATGCTGTGATAAACATAGTTGTGCTGGTAGCTTTAGTATGGCCTTGTTTGTGATAAGCATAGTTGTGCTGGTAGCTTTAGTATGGTTTGTTTGTGATACTTTGGGTAAATGACTGAAAGTGGGATTGCTGGGTGATAGGGGAGCTCTATTTGGAGTCTTTTGAGGAACCTCTGTACTATTTCCAGAGTGGTTGAACATGTTTACACTCCCACTAACAATGCAGTAGGGTTCCCTTTTGGCCACATCCCCTCCAGCATTGGTTGTTATTATTAGATTTCTTGATTATAGCCATTCTAACTGGAGTGCGGTGGAATCTCAATGCTGTTTTGATTTGCATTTCTTTTATAGCTGGAGAAGTTGAGCATTTCTTCATATGTCTATTGTCCATTCTTACTTCCTTTTCAGGGAAGTCTCTAAATCTTTAGCCTACTTATTAATGGGGCTGTTGTTTCTTTGAGAATTTGTTATTGGGGTGTTTTTTTGAGTTCTAAGTATATTTTAGATATGAGACCTTTGTCCATTGCATGGCTAGTGAAAAATCTTCTCCCAATCCGTGGGCTTTCTATTGATCTTGCTAGCTATGTCCTTTGTCACGCAGAAGTTCTGCAGTTACATGCACTCCCGTTTGTTCAATCTTTCTTAAATTTTATTTAATTTTTAAAAAGCAGTTTATTGATTTTTCTCTATATTTTGTATTCCATTTCATTGATTTCTATTCTTTTCTATTTATATTTCTTTTCTTCAATTTGTTTTATTTAGTTTGCATTTCTTTTTCTAGTTGCTGTTTTTGAGTGATCCTTTTAGATCACATTTGGTGTATAGGTTTGTTTTTTTAAATAAGTCTACTGTTTGTTTTTCTTCAACAATTTTGTATCTGAATGTTTGATCAATTACTTGAAAATGAATATTAATGTCTCCTACTATTATTGAATTGCTGCTGCTTTCTTCAATCAGATCTGTTAATATTTACATTATGTACTTAGTCCTCTAATGTTGAGTTTGTGTGTTCGTGTGTGTGTGTGTGTGTGTGTGTTTGTGTGTGTGTGTGTGTGTGTGTAATTATTAAATTTTCCCATTTTTTTTCATTTATAATACCTTTGTTGTCTCATGTGACATTTTTTGTCTTAAAAACTTTTGTCTGGTTTAGGCCTACCCATTCGTATTTTATTTTAGTTACTAGTTGCATGAATGTCTTTTTCCATTCCTTTTAGCCTATGTGTGTCCTTATAGTTAGAATGAGTTTCTTGTAGACATTATATATTTGGATCTTGCATTTTATTAGTTTAGTTACTCTGTATTTTTAGTTGTTAGTTTTAATGTATTACACAACTAATTATTGAATGAAACTATTTAGTTTGTTAACTGTTATCTGTTTGCCTTGTTTTTCTCACCCACTGCCTTCCTTGGAGTTTTGTTGTTTTTATTGTAGAGCATTTTTCCTTTTCTTTTTTTTTTCTTTTGTTTAACTTCCATAGGTATTTTCCATGACTAACACAGGACTTATATAAAATAGATTTTAGCAGTCAGTTTTAAGCTAATATCAATTTTTCTCACATACTAAATCTCCACATTTTATTCTTTGTTTCCTAAACTATATGCAATTGTTATCAAAATTTATGTCTGTTTATTCTGTGGCTCTGCTAATAGTTATAGTTATAGCTAATCGTTATAACTAATAGTTATAACTATTTAACTGCTTCTGTCTTTTTAGTTTTGTCCTTTCATTAAAAGTTATTCAGATGGTTCACAGCTAAAATCCTAGCCACTCAGGAGGCTGAGATCTGAGGATTACTGTTCAAAGCTCACCCAGGCAAGAAAGTCCCTGAAACTCTCATTATCCAATGAAAAGCTGGAAAAAGAGGTTTAGCTCAAGTGGTCTTGAGCCAAAAAGCTCAGGGATGGTACCTAGGCCCTGAGTTCAATGGGTGCATGCACACACACACACACACACACACACACATGCATAAATAAATGTTATCTAGTATTATTGTAGTAAAACCATATTCTACTTTTGCCCATATATTTTCCTTTACTAATTAACTTAATTTCTTTTGCTTTGTATTGTAGTGGAGTTTTTCTTTTTCTCCTCCTTCTCGCTTACATTGAGCACTATCTTGTGATGTGTATTATTTCTGACAAAAAACAAAAACAACAAAA